TGGGATGGAAGTCCTAATAAGCCACGAAACCCTAAACCGTCGTTAGGCCGCGAGGCTGGGTTTAGGGTGCAGGCGCCAATCGCGAAAGACGCAAACCTGAAACCCTCAACGGGGCTTCAGGGTATATCATCGCAAAAGGTTATGCGATGACTCTCAGGGTATACTATTACTTCTTACTCAGTCCAAACCCAGAAGCCTCAAACCCTAAACCCGAAACCCAGAAGCCCCAAGCCCTAAACCCTAAACCCAGTAGCCCCCAGCCCTAAACCCTGAACCCTAAACCCAGAAGCCCCAAGCCCTAAACCCTAAACCCAGAAGCCCCAAGCCCTAAACCCTGAACCCTAAACCCAGAAGCCCCAGGTAAACCCTCTTGAGCTGCCGACCCCGCGTCCGGCGAGCGACGTAGCTGTAGGATGAGCCTTGAACTCCGGGAGTTGAAGCTGCATGGGATGAGTTTTAGGGTTTAGGGTTTAGGATTTAGGGTTTCGGGTTTCAAGAGAATTCTTTTCCCCAGGCCCTAAGCCTTAAACCTAAACTCTGCACCTTAAACCCTGAACGCTCAACCTAAAGATCAGACCCAAACCTTGAACCTAAACCCTAAACCCGAAACCGAGAACGTTGAACCCTAAACCTGAAAGAGCCATTCCGGGCGCAAGCCTGGGTGGTTTTTGGCTTTAGGGTTTAAGGCTTAGGGTGCCTACATCCTGAACCTGACACCCCCAACCCTAAAACCCGAGAGCCCAGGACCCTTTAATTCAACCAAACTTTGTCTTTTCGGGCTTTTGGGTTTCAGGGTTCTGGTCTTCAGGGTTTGGGGTTCATGTGGGGCTTGCTGGGGTTGATGGATGGAGGTTGTTTTGGCCTGGATTTTTAGGGGTTTCGGTGTCCGGTTGCAAGTTAAAGGGTGCCAGACCCTACTGTAAACCCTAAACCCTGTATATGGGCTCCACTAATAATTACAAGTCCTAGCAACTCCCTAAACATTACCCCTAAACCCTAAACCCTAAAACCTAAAACCCTAAAACCTAAAACCTAAAACCCTAAACCCTAAAACCCTAAAACCCTAAAACCTAAAACCCTAAAACCCTAAACCCTAAAACCTAAAACCCTTAAACCTAAAACCCTAAACCCTAAAACCTAAAACCCTAAACCCTGGAACCCCTGAAGCAAAGCTCGTCTCGCTGAGGAGCCGCGGCCCGCGCCAGGCGACCTGGACCTGCGCAGCTTTTGGGTTTTAGGGGTTAGGGTTTAGGGTTTAGGGTTTAGGGTTTAGGGTTTAGGGTTTAGGGTTTAGGGTTTTAGGGTTTAGAGCTTAAGGGGTTCTAGGGCTTAGGGGTCTAGGGGTTTTGGGTTTGGGGAGCTTAAGGGGTTCTAGGGCTTAGGGAGCTTAAGGGGTTTAGGGTTTAGGGTTTAGGGAGCTCAAGGGGTTCTAGGGCTTAGGGAGCTTAAGGGGTTTAGGGTTTTAGGGTTTAGAGAGCTGAAGGGGTTCTAGGGCTTAGGGAGCTTAAGAGGTTTAGGGTTTAGGGAGCTTAAGGGGTTTAGGGCTTAGGGAGCTTAAGGGGTTTAGGGTTTAGGGTTCAGGGAGCTCAAGGGGTTCTAGGGCTTAGGGAGCTGAAGGGGTTTAGGGTTTTAGGGTTTAGAGAGCTGAAGGGGTTCTAGAGCTTAGGGAGCTTAAGAGGTTTAGGGTTTAGGGAGCTTAAGGGGTTTAGGGCTTAGGGAGCTTAAGGGGTTTAGGGTTTAGGGTTTAGGGAGCTCAAGGGGTTCTAGGGCTTAGGGAGCTTAAGAGGTTTAGGGCTTAGGGAGCTTAAGGGGTTTAGGGTTTAGGGTTTAGGGAGCTCAAGGGGTTCTAGGGCTTAGGGAGCTTAAGGGGTTTAGGGTTTTAGGGTTTAGAGAGCTGAAGGGGTTCTAGGGCTTAGGATTTAGGGAGCTTAAGGGGTTCAGGGGTTTGGGATTTGGGGCTTAGGGTATGAGGTTTCGGTTCTTGAAACCGTTCCGAGGGCCATAAAACTTTTAAACAGTGTTCCCCTATAGTCACTCTAGTCCCTATCTAACTTTGTCACTCTAGTCCCTATCTAACTTGACAATCATATAATACCCCAAAACCTTATTCTATTTACGAAGGCCCCTACATCACAGAATGCTTCTCTCCCCTTGTACTCCGCCAAAAAGGTCCTTACTAGAAGTCTTAAGGCCTAAAACCTAAACCCTAAACCCTAAACCCTAAACCCGAACCCCTATGGTCCCGCCTCTACCTTCTGATGGTCCACCTCCTGATGCCAGAGCATGAGCCGGCATTGTGGCAAGACCGGCGATGCCTGACTTAGGGTTTAGGGTTTAGGGTTTAGGGTTTAGGGATGCCTGACAGGGCTCGGGAGGTTCTAGGGGGGTTGAGGGTTGGGGGGTGTAGGGCCTACTTAAAGGATCATGGGACTTAGTAGCTAGGTTATTACTAGGACAACTATACTTATAGCTACTTATAACCCCAACTGAGGTACTTATAAGCATACTTACTAAGTCCCATGAGCCTCCAAGTAGGGTTCAGGGTTTCAGTTTCGGGCTTAAGGCTGCGAGAGCGCAGGCAGAGTTTAGGCATCAGAGACTACGGGGTCAAGGTCTAGAAATTCGGATACATGAGGTCAGGGTTTGAGTCAGGGTTTAGGGGCTATGGGCTTGGGTCTGAAGGATGATCATGGTCTTCTGTAAACTTACCAATAGCTTTCAAACACTTTGGGGTCATCACCCTAAACCCTACCTGTGTTCGTTTCTATGGCTTTCTATCTAGAGCTCCTTTAAGAAAGGTAGGTTTCTTTGGCTACAGGGAGGTTAAAGCCCATGGGTCTTCAGGTCGTGCTGTTGCGAGGTGTCTATGGGTTTAGGGTTCAGGGTTTAGGGTTTAGGGGTTTTCGGGCGCTGAGACCCCCGACTAACACGTCAAAGCCCCCAAGCCCTGAACCCTGCAACCTAATGTAGGGGCCTTAATAATGAGAATTGGGTTTTGGGGCATTCCTTAAGATAATTCTAGTATGATGTGCCCCCAAACCCTATTCTAACTCTCAAGGCCCCTATATTACTCCCAATACCTTACACCCAGAGCCTTCAACCCCGAAACATATAAACCCTCATCGCCCCTCTCCTATAGACTCCTTCTAGTCGAGCACCCTAAACTGCTGCAGAATCCTCTCCCATAGAATCGCTCCAGCCGCCTGAGTCCCTGAACTGTGAAATCCTACATGGGTAGTTTTCTAAATTAGGGTCCCTTTTGGGGTCCTTTTTATAAGGGTGCCGTACTATACTGGGGACCCAAAAAGGGACCCTAATTTAGAAAACTACCCACATTCCCCGCCCACCCCAAAGAAGCCTCGAAAGCTGTCTGCCAGCCCACTGGTGGTGGCCCAGCCATGAATGCCGGGGTCATAACCGTGGCAGTAGTAAGACTCTCGGGGATAAGATTTAATGTTCCCTAAACCCTAAAACCCTAAACCTCAACCTTTAAGGTTTAGGAGCTTCCGTTTGGGTGGGCATATCTCTCGCAGCAATAGAACTAGTTCAACCTTCATAAAGATGACGACAAGCTCACGAATCGCAGCCGCACCAACAGTAGCAGTCAGAAGATGAAACTTCGTCATTCTCAGAGTAGTGCTGTGATTATGGTAGGACTCTTAGGAGGCTTTGTCTTGGCCGGTTTTTGGTTCTGGGATCTTTGGGGGGTTCATCTTGGGCTGTTTTTTATGCCTTGTGGGGTGTTCTTGAGTATTAAGCAAGCCTCTGACGCAGCGCCAGACCTCCGAAACCCAACTTGGAAACTCCTACGATTGAACTTAATGTAGTGGCCTTAAAAATAAGAATAGGGTTTTGGGGGTTCCTTATGATAATTATAGTAGAATATACCCACAATTCCTATTCTAATTATTAAGGCCCAAAACTACAAATGGCCGCTGACAACGGCACGTAGTGTTGGCGAAGGCCCACCCAAAGCACGTACCAGGCTGCTTCAGCCAAACGCTGCAGTTCTGTGGGCGAGTGTTCGTCCTGACGACGACGATGGTGGTGATGATGTCAAGGTGATGAACATGTGATACCGGTGATACTGATGGCGCTGATGATGACACACTCACGAGGAGGAGGAGGAGTCGGAGGAGGAGGAGGAGGAAGAGGAGAAGGGGGTGGAGGAGGAGGAGGAGGAGGAGGAGGAGGGAGAGGAGGAGGAGGAGGCTGAGGAGGAAGAGGGAGGAGGCTGAGGAGGAGGAGGAGGAGGACGAGGAGGCGGAGGAGGCTAATAGTAGGAAAGAGAGTGACTATAACAGTCGTAATAATGATGGCGAAGATGGTGATGGTACCGGTGAGGTTGATGGTGAGAGACTGAGAAGGTGAGAGGTCACAGCGTCAAAGGGAGAGGGGAAGAGACTGACTGAGAGAGAGAGAGAGAGAGAGAGAGAGAGGGAGAGAGAGAGAGAGAAGCAGACAAGCAAACAGACCAACAAACAGATAGAAGGTGAGGCTTCGTCTGGGTCTGATCTTCAGCTTCTTTGTTCGCACAATTTCACTACAGCCACTGTGTCTACACCTCTGGCCCCGAGCATACACAAAACACAAGGCTTGCTGGAACTGAGAACATCCGCAGTTGAAGTATCTTTCTTCTCGACTACGTTCTCCCCCTTCCACGAAAATTCATCAACTTTTAAAAATGCTGCAATTCTAGTGACCCCGGTAGGACGAGGAGTACTTGCAACCCAAGAAGCCTACTTTTTGAAGGACTTTTTTATGCAAATTTCATAATGAAGAACCAGAAAATGCAAATCTTTTGGGTTACAGGTCGCCCCTAAGCCCTAAACCCTAAA